TTTGCCAAAATTGGTTGGAGAATGGATAATCAATTAACGGGTGCTTTTCCTAACTTAGATAGCAGTTGATTAACTTTTGAAAAAGGACGTGAACCAAAAAAACCGTGTTCGGCACTATAAGGTGAAGGATGAGTACTAGTTAAACTATAATCACTACTGATTTGACATTCTTCACCAATCTTTTTGGCTTTTTGACCTCAGAAAACTCAGATTAATTTTTCATTATAATTTTTCAGGTAAATTAGGAGAGAGTAAATAAATTCTTTTCACCAACTCATATGTGAAAGGGCTTGTCCATCACGCACCGTTAGAGCAGTATTAACTAAAAAGATTCCTTCCTTTACTCAAGGAAGTAAATTTCCTTTGTTTGGAGGGACACAAATAAGATCCTTGCTGAACTCCAAAAAGATATTTCTTAAACTGGCGGGTATAAAGTTTGGTTTTTGGGTGCTAAAAGCAATTCCATCTGCTACCTCCGGCAAGTGATAAGGGTCTTGACCTAAGATTATCACTTTAATTTTATCAAGTGGAATTTCCCGAAAGAGACGAAAAATATTCTCCTTTTTGGGTCAACATTTATAACTTTTATATTCTTCGTCAAGTCTAACCAATAAAGGAAAGAAGTAATCTTTTTGAGCCTCAGACTGGAAAAAAATTTCTCAACTGGGGTCAATTTTATCTAAATAAAACTCTTTTCATAATAAATCATTCATTATTTAATTTTTACTTTTTTCATTTATATATCTTATCGTTTTTTTTGGTTTTTCGATAAAACTCTTCTTAATATCTTCAGTAGTGCAAACTATTTCAACGCTTCAAAGTTCTTTTTTAGGACTTTTTTTAGTTTTTGACATCCTTTTCCAGCCGAGCAATTAATTCTTTGTCTTCTTTACTAAGGTGATTTAATTTTTCTTTCACAATAATTGGCTATATAATAGTATTTTCAACTTTTTCGGTAAAACCGATTATTATCAATGTTGAAATATTAATATAATATTTTTAACTCTTTTTTAATTATCTTCACTTTTGTTTCGGCTAGGCCTTTCAGATACTTATTATTATTTTCTAATATCTCCCCAACATTAGAAAGGTAGTGATTATATCTTTTTTGAATGGCTCCCAATTTTTCGTTAAGTAAGTCAGCAAGTTTAACCTTAAATTGGTGATAATTACAATTGCTTAATTCTTTTTCTACCTCCTTTATTTCTTTGCCACTTAATAAGGCATAAATGGTTAATAAATTAGAAACTCCTGGTTTTTTTTCGGGGTCATAATAAATTTTATTTTCACTATCAGTTTCGGCCTGGCTAATTTTTTTTTTTATCATTTCGGGGCTATCCAATAAAGCAATATAATCATTCTCGCTTTTTGACATTTTTTTTTGCGGATTTTTTAGTCCCATGATTTTGGCTCCAAAGCGAGGGATAGTAAATTGAGGAACTTTTAACAGTTTTTTGTCATAAAAATTATTAAACTTTTGGGCAAGGTCGGTGGCTAATTCAAGATGTTGAGTTTGGTCTTGTCCGACAATAATTAAATCCACATCATAAAGAAAAATATCTGCCGCCATTAAGACGGGATAGGATAATAAAGCTAAATTTCCAGTTTCTTGTTCTTTCTTTTTTTCTTTATATTGAATCATATTATTTAATTCACTTACCGTAGTAAAAGGGGCTAATAATCAGGTTAGTTCTAAATGTTCTTGGATTTCCGACTGAATAAATATTTTGCAATTTTCTTTTTTGAGACCACAAGCGTAAAAAAGGGAGGCGATTTCGTAAGTTTTCTGGCGATAATCAAAGTTAGGTTTGGGAATAGTTAAGGAATGTAAGTCGGCAACCATAATAATTACTTCGTAATCGTCTTGGATTTTTAAAATATGACTGATTACCCCACAATAATTTCCCAAGGTCAGGGTGCCGGTGGCTTGAATGCCAGTAAAAAAGCGTGGTTTAGACATATTATTATTTTTCATCAATTCCTTTTAAAAAAGTGCTAAATTATATTATTTTATTATTGTTTGTTATATTTTTTTTCTAATACTTCTACTTCTTGATTAAGATAATATTTTGTGAAAACACACTCAATTATTAAGGCTAGACATTTATTTCTCATGCTAGTTAAATTATCTTTTTCTTGCTGAGTTATTTGAGGGTTTTCACGCATTTTGTTAACTTTTTTGAGGCTTTTTTCTGTTTCCGATTTAGTTTCATCAATTTCGTTAATTTTATTAATTGTCATATTCTTTCAAAAGATAACTTCTACTTTTAGTTCGTTAATTTCGTTCATAAATCTATTTTTCTTTTTTTCTTTTCCCTACAAAATAACCAACCATTACTGCTAAACTAATCACTGCCACCCCGCCAATTATCCAGGGAAGTTTAGAATTGTTGGATTGTTGTTCGTTTTTAATTGGACTATTTTGTAAAATGGCTTGTAATTGATGGGCTTGTTGCTGTTGAGAACTATCTCCACTTTTAAGTAATTTCTGAACATATTCCAATAAATCCATCAAAATAGTGCCTTTTCAAGAATTAATTCTGATTTTCTTTTCCTTTATTCCCTGAACTAACTTCCCAAACTGTTCGCTAGTCATTTTATCCAAGTTTTTCGCACTTAACGGATTATTTTCACAATTCAGATACTCCAATTTAGGAAA